CAAAATACCACACGGAATTCATCAAGAGACTGCTCCAGATGCCACACAGAATTCATCTCGAGTCAGCGGAGTAGTCTCAACAGAAGAAATGGTGCAAGTCTCAATAGAAGAAATGGTGCAAGACTCAACACAAGATGCCACACAGAATTCATCACAGAATCCCACACAGATTCATCAAGGGACTGCTCTAGATGCCATACAGAGCTCAGTAAGAGTCGGCGTAGCAATCTCATCAGGGAGAAGTGGTGCAAGACTCAACACAAGATGCCACACAGAATTCATCAAGAGTCAGCAGAGCAGTCTCAACATGAGAAATGGTACACCTGACATCAACAATTATCTTTCTTCTGCCCTCTTTTTCCACGCTCCCACTTCACGCTTTTGACTGCATCTCCCAGTGACATCCGTTCAACTTTACCGAAGAAGTTCATCATTAAATCTTGGGTTTAAGTGAGATCGATCAAGTCGGGCAAAATTTTCTTCATTCGAGGATGACTCTTCACTCGCATTCACGGGACTCTTGCAAGCGATCACTGGCAGTCGAAGAAACATCGATCTTGAGCGCAGCCCTCTTCGGATGACAGAACAAATACACTTTATCAAAGAAGCGTCCATCCTGTACGACTCGTGAACGAGACGAGAGCAAGATGAGCTAGATTTTTTCGCTTCGCAATTCTTTAAACACCCTCCTCCAAACACTGAGAGGGTGATGATGGAGGAGTGAGGAGAGGGTGATGATTGTAAAATAGGAAGGGGATGGTACTTACGGAGTAAGGAGAGGATGATGACGGTGAAATGAGGAGAGGTTGTTGACGGCGGAGTAAGAAGTGACTGTTGGCGGCCTCTTCTCATCCGCATTCAAAAGGCGCCTCTCATTCAACCAGTATCATTCACTTCTCGTTCAAGATCCACTTCACATTCAACTAGGATCACACATTTCCGCTCTCACGTTATCACACAGCATTGATGAAAACAATAAAATGCAAACGCTATCCCCATCGTTTCACCAGAAGAGGTCACAAGTAGAAACGCCCAAACTCAGCGGAATGAACCAAGATCTTCCTCTTCAGACCGGATGAAACCTTTCAAAGTTTATGCAAAGTCATCTCGTATATCGCTCAAGATCGGATTATGACGTAGCAATTGAATAAGTGGCATAAGAGAAGAAATTATACACTACACTTGACGTCAGCATTTATCTTTCCTTTGCCCTCCTTTTCATGCTTTCAGCTTATACTCTTTAGCTTGACATCTATTCAACATTACCGAAGAAGTCCATCACTGGTTGATTCGGTCAAAGTTTCTTCATTCATAATAAATCTGTACTCGTATTCATCGGGCTCTTACAAGCAAACAACGGCAGTCTCTAGAGAAGAAGAGAAACTGTAAATGGATCCAGACTAACGGTCCT